TGTTATATGTAGTGATGATGGATGTTGTTGTATGTAGTGTTGATGGATGTTGTTGTATGTAGTGATGATGGATGGTGTTATATGTAGTGATGATGGATAATGTTATATGTAGTGATGATGGATGGTGTTATATGTCGTGACGATGGATGATGTTATATGTAGTGATGATGGATGTTGTTGTATGTAGTGATGATGGATGGTGTTATATGTAGTGATGATGGATGATATTATATGTAGTGATGATGGGTGGTGTTATATGTAGTGATGGTGGATGGTGTTATATGTAGTGATGATGGATGTTGTTGTATGTAGTGATGATGGATGGTGTTATATGTAGTGATGATGGATGGTGTTAGATGAGGTGATGAAGGATGGTGTTATATGCAGTGATGAAGGATGGTTTTATATGTAGTGATGATGGATGGTGCTAAGAACAGTGACGATGGATGCTGTTATATATTGTGATGATGGATGGTGTTAGGTGTAGTGATGATGGATGGTGTTAAGTATAGTGATGATGGATGGTGTTAAGTATAGTGATGTTGGATGGTGTTATATATAGTGATGATGGATTGTGTTATATAGAGTGATGATGGATTGTGTTATATATAGTGGCGATGATGTGTTGAAAGGCAGTGATGATGGATGGTGTTATATGTAGCGATGATGGATGGTGTTTTATGTAGTGATGATGGATGGTGTTATATGTAGTGATGATGGATGTTGTTATATGTAGTGATGATGGGTGGTGTTATATGTAGTGATGATGGATGGTGTTATATGTAGTGATGATGGATGATGTTATATGTAGTGATGATGGATGGTGTTATATGTAGTGATGATGGATGTTGTTATATGTAGTGATGATGGATGGTGTTATATGTAGCGATGATGGATGGTGTTATATGTAGTGATGATGGATGGTGTTATATGTAGTGATGATGGATGGTGTTATATGTAGTGATGATGGATGGTGTTATAATAAGTAGTGATGATGGATGGTGTTATATGCAGTGATGATGGATGGTGTTATATGCAGTGATGATGGATGGTGTTATATTTAGTGATGATGGATGGTGTTATATGTAGTGGTGATGTATGGTGTTATATGTAGTGATGATGAATGGTGTTATATGTAGTGATGATGGATGGTGTTGTATGTAGTGATGATGGATGGTGTTATATGTAGTGATGATGGATGGTGTTATATGTAGTGATGATGGATGGTGTTATATGTAGTGATGATGGATGGTGTTTTATGTAGTGATGATGGATGGTGTTATATGTAGTGATGATGGATGGTGTTATATGTAGTGATCTCAAAAAAACTCCAACCAACCAGATCAGACACAGCCCCGATGCACACAAGTAGAAAAGTCGTATTCCCTCCTATGATTTACAGCTATTTTGATCCTTAGGTTCTCTTTCATTATGGCTTATTTTTCTCTGCATTTAACCTCGGTCAGTTACACCACAAAGAGGTTGAATAGTCGTATCCCATCCCATGTATTATAGCTAATTTTATCCTTATGCTCTCTCTCATTACAGCTTACTTTTCTTTGATCTCTAACTTTTCTAGGATGTCCAATCTAACAAGGTAGGTAGGTAGGTAGGTAGGTAGTCCATTCTAACTAGTTATGCCAAAGGTAAGATATTTCACACCTTGGCCTAGCGAAAGAGCCAATATTATCTTGTAAATCATTTGTCAGTCGGAACATCTTCAAGGTTGATTACAGACTGTAATCACCCCTGGGAATGTGAATTACACTTCATGTTTTCTTGTTTCCTATGTGGAGTAAGGAAGGGAATACTAAAGTTAATTCATAGAGAAAAATTTACAAAACTTCCTGACTTAACTCATATTGTCTAAACATTCTTGTGATTTATATTCTTATTTTCATCTAATCTTATTGGTTAAAATTCTAATGAATAACTTAATAAGAGAATTAAGTGTATATTGTCCTCCAAGATCGTGTCGACTTCATATTTTCCTCAGCCATAGAATATTTTCCTCAGCCATAGAATATTTTCAGGTGCTCTGCCCACCAATACTGTCTTCCTCAAATATTGTTTCTATTTCACCAAACGCATTAAAACAGGTGCAGTACTTCTTTTCTTTGCAGATTAAAACTGTAAATCGTTGACATGGTTCCGTCTAACTTGGATAATTGCATCGAAGTAAAAGATTTCATTGTCTGTACGTTGCCTTGGCCTAACTGGTTAGTGCCTCCTCAGTAGCTCTTTTGCTTATGGAAAGAAAAGTCTCTAAAATCTCTATTAAAGTCTCTAAGCCTTGACGATTTTTTCAGCAGAAAGGTTTCATGACTTCATGGGCCTTAAGATGAAGTTCTCAGCAATTCGTTACTTCCCATACAATGACTACACGCCCGACAGTAGTGAGCCAGGCAGTACCGTCACTCTCAAAGATTGCCTTGACGCTAGACTGCTTTCTGTTCTGGAACCAGCACTCAACTGCAGGTATGTACAGTATATATATATATATATATATATATATATATATATATATATATATAATAAACAACCAGATTTCCATGGTCACCATAACATACTTTATGTGCGCATACTTCATGCGTCATCAAAAAAAATCTTTTATATATTGAGATGCATCTCTTAATTTTTTTTGTTGGCAACTAATGTAATTACTCTTCTAGTATATGCACTTAAGGACCTTAGATGTTGAAGTAATCGAGTATAACTTTAACAACACAACCTTAAATTGCAAGTAATCACCTACAGTTCTGAGATTCGAGCACAGTCTGAGCGTGCTTGGGGTACATTGGAGGATGGCCAGTTTACTGGAATGATGGGCGAATTCCAGCGAGAAGAGATAGACATTGGTATGCCCACGGCTCCCGCTGTAGAGCGGAGTGTTGTCTTGGATAACTTCGGTGCTTATCAAGCTGATGTGGTATGCCCGGTATCCTTGAAGCCTACTCTGTTACCTCAATACCTGTCTCTGATTAGACCATTTGCAGGTACGAGTAATTTACTTTGGTTTTAGCAGGCAAATTTAGTCATCACAAAAACTTTAAAATTAGTGTATTGTTGTTCTAATGCTATAGTGATATACTGCTAAAATTATAGTACAAACTTTTAGGAGCGTTTTACACTAATTAACTACTCCGGAATTTCTGTTTTGAAGAATTTCTTCAGTTCAACTCGATCATGGATAGAAAGCCAATACAGTATACAGAAATAAAAGCACCCGAGAAGGATTTATTGATATCATATTGAATCCTTGTTTTTCTGTATGGAATAGTAACATATAATCACACCTTGAGTGATATAATAATGACCAATACACTTTACATTTTTTATTCATTCACTATAATGTGACTCACATGCAGTAAGCATGTAAGAAGAGGTCACACTCGTGACCCTAAAACAGCTGAACTATCTCTATTCACATGGCCAAGCCGATATATATATATATACATATATATATATATATATATATATATATATATATATATATATATATATATATATATATATATATATATATATATATATATATATATATATATATATATAGTGTATTTATAATGAGACAGAAAACGCTCAACTGTGTTTCAGAATATGTCTACCACTGATAAACTTTCTTACCTAAACAGTACAAGTCACGGGACAGCTCCCAATATTTTTCTTATAAAGAAACAAATGTAAGAACTCAACTAAAACTGAAATAAATGACTTATATGTAACTATGTGATGTAGCCTCAAAGTTGCACAATGATCTTGTTTTTGGCTGAAAAATATATTTTGAGATAAGACATTCCTAATCACAACTGTTCTGTGAATAACACTTCGTGGACACTGTTGAGCAGGAAAAAGGTCTTGACATCGTTTTAGACCATCAGTGAAGGCAGTGAAACAAGTTGGAGCAGCAGTCTAAAATATAACCGAAATTTAGAAATAATCAGCCGTAACTTCAAATGCAAAGATCCTGTATAGTAAGTACCTGTAGGTGCTCCTTCTGCTTTTTAAGTCTCGTACTGTATATTATGTATGGAGACCAGACTTCCAGAAAAATATAACATCCTAGGAAGGTGCAACTGAGAGCGACTAAGATGATTACTGACCTATATGATCTTGATTATCCAATTAGACTGAGGGTCTGAGAACTGACAGCTCTTCTGACATGACAAGACAAAGCGGATCTCGAAAAGACATCACAAGTCTGGAAGGAATAAAAAATGTAAGGAAATATAAATTTGTCGTGATGTCACGCGTCACTAACACGAGTGAACACAACTTCAAGCTCACTAAATTGTCATGAAGACAAATATAAGAAAATACTTCAAGAAAGGGTATTAGACCTAAGAAATAACCTACCAGTTTATGATGTGGAAACGAGAATGGTATTGGGCTTCAAAATAACCCTGTACAAAACTGTCAAGAACACTGGAGGGATCCTACTTAGATTATTGGCCCCCTTCTGTTATTAGGCAAAGTAAGTGAATTAGGCAGAGAATAATGAAACCATAATATTGACAGCATTATGCATTCTTTCATATCATTATATTCTTTGTGATTGCAATATACTTCTTGTTTGATAATGTTTTTTAACTTAGTCGAAAACATTTCTTTGGTTACTATTTTTAAACATTTAATTGCAAGACAATATTTTTTCCGCATTTATATAGGACATTAATGAAAAAGGAATTTATGTAAATTTTTACAACTGGTAAGGATAGATTTAACAGTGACTCATCTCTGTCTTTACAAAATATTTTATCGTAACTTTATTTCATACAAATCTAACACCATTGTTAGAAAATCGCCACTAAAGACACTGCAAATGTCCCAAGCGCCAGACCTTACAAGCAACCAAATTTTTACTCACTTCTGTGTTTTTGGGCGAGAGATACGGTATTTTAACTCTTAACAACCTAACAGGAGCCTAAAGCGTCAAGTAATTAAATAATTCTTCATTTTTTTCTTAAGGAGAACTGTGGGGAGGATTACTGTTGAGTGTGTTGGCGTGGGGCGTGGTTATGTGGCTGCTGCAGAATGCCTGGTGGTGGGTGACAGGTGATCGTGGTGTTAAATTCAGCACAGCCCTCCTGTATGGCTGGGCCGTGCTATTAGAACGGTCGACCTCAAACCCTCCCGTCAATGACTCAGGCAGAGTAAGTCTTTCTATCTGCTAATTTTGTTCCTCTCCTACTTTTGAGTGGGTGGACCAAGGAGTACAGAAGACTCTGAGAAGGGGAGACACATTTCTTAGAGCGGAGTAAGATAATTGTAGAAAGCAACAGGAAAAGGATTTAACATCCACACACATTTCATCCATATTCTCAACTTACATACACAACAGTATACAGTAAGTGTACCACCCACACTAGTTTACAACGCTTCATAAACCAAATCATAGGTTAACATTTTCACCTGATGGATGACAGGTTCCTAGTCATTACCTTTATGTTTACAGGTAAATGTGGGTGGCGGATGCTTGATCATCACCTTCACTTTATGCTTACAGCTGTTGGTAGGATGGTGGCTGGTGTTCTGTCTGGTCGTCACCACAGGGTATCGTTCGTCTTTAATTGCTCACCTGACAGTCCAGGGGAAGTCCCAACCACCTGAAACCTATGAGGATCTGGTGTCTCTGGACAACTGGAAGTGGGGTACCCAGTCTTGGATGTTAAAAGGATCGCCCGGACAATATTTCTCGAGGCACACTGACCCTGTCGTTCAAGAGATAAATCGAAGAATGGAGGCAAGTAAACTTAACTGTGAATTCCATAAAAAATATGGGGCCATGAAGTAGTTTAAGTTAATTGGGTCAATTAGGGGGATGGGCTTGTCCTATAAACCCTTATTAATTAGTATATATATATATATATATATATATATATATATATATATATATATATATATATATATATATATATATATATATATATATATATATATATATATATATATATATATATATATATATATATATATATATATATATATATATATAATATAGAATCCACTTTAGTATATATGTTATTAAAGCTATGTGTTTATATTTGTTCTCTAGCCTTTGACAGCTACTGAGGGACTGCACAAGGTATTAGAAGGAAGAAACTCATTCATCACTCCCAGATTTTACATTACCGTCGTCATCGATTCCCACTACACTGACAGCTACGGCCAAAGTCCCTTTTACATCAGCAAAACTGGAATTAAAATAATAGCTGCCTTTGGCTGGTCTTTCAGGTACGTATATATATATATATATATATATATATATATATATATATATATATATATATATATATATATATATATATATATATATATATATACAAACAAATACTAATTCTGTAAGAGGTGTTGTGATGTAATGGCCCCTGTCCCATCAACAGAAAGTATTATATAAATAGGTTATTTACATCTGATTTATATTCAGATTTCCCTGTAACTTTCCACTGGATATGAGGTGACATGTTCAATGCACGTGATAAGGTGTGCCCACGGGAAGCTGCGTCATACTATGCTGAATAAAGGCATAAAGAAGCCGGCTCCTGGCCACCTAAAGCGGGCAGTAGTTTGATATCCTTGATTAGAGGAAGACGTTATTTGAGAGCTGCAGTGGATGGCTCCGTCTTCCCTCGAGGGGAACGACGTACCTATTCCGTTCTCCCTCGATGGGTCACTACTCAGAGAGTAGCACTCCCAAACTTACATTGAACGGAGGGTAGGTGACCCTCTTTCTCTCTCTTCACGCTCATAGATAGCGGAAGACACGGTGATTTACACATCAGGAATTGCAGCTCGTGTGAGTACGAAAACAACATATCAGTCTACGTACCAAGGCGTCGGTGTTTTGTGAAACTAGAAAACAAACACCCTACAGTGACGCGTTACAAACAATGTCCGAGTGCTAAGAATATCCCGTACTGAGACGATAATTATTGAGTGTTTCTCATTCTGTCGCCCAAAGATGGTGCAGAATTATTCCCAATAACCGCAATTGAGTTATTGTTGACGTGAAATCCCTGTTATCGACAAGTGAGAGGGGTCAGGAACGCGTCTGTCAGCACCTGACCATTCTGTGGAAGATATTCCCCCGTGGTGAAGTGTATTCACCCGGCGTTCGTCATGCAGCGCGCCCCCCGACTCATAGCGGAGGGAAGAGTGCTGTTACCCACCCAGCACCCCCCACCTGGGACCATCTGTGGATCGCGTTTTCTATACAGACGCCCTAACTCCTGTATTAGGTATTTAAAGAGTAAAATACTTCATACACAGTGAACCTCTATAACTTCTCAAGTGATTGTTACAACTAACAGTCATAACACCATATACACAGTTGGTAAAGGTAGAGGAATTATGTTCTCCCCATTACTGTGACATAGACAGACTGGTTTAGAAGAACATATATATATATATATATATATATATATATATATATATATATATATATATATATATATATATATATATATATATATATATATATATATATATATATATATATATATATATATATATATATATATATATATATATATATATATATATATATATATATATATATATATATACTGTATATATATATATATATATATATATATATATATATATATAGATAGATATATATATGGACTAAAAATGCTACTGACACCACATCCGAGGCACGGGCAATTTCCCAATGAGGTTCACGGCGCCATCAGCTCGATGAACAGGCTTTGTGTAAAATATAACAGAGTCTAGGACTGCTTTTAGTGTTCTTGTGGGTTGGTCGGTAGCGTTCCCTAGTCCCACCCAATAGGTCGAGGGTTCGATTCCTGGCTGGTGAGATTATATTTTCAAAGTCAGCGTGTTATATGGACTAAAAATGAAGTATATATATGGTACCTCGTGTTTCATACCAGTTGAATTCGGTAAAATGCTACTGACACCACATACGAGGCACGGGCAGTTTCCCAATGAGGTTCACGGCGCCATCAGCTCGATGAACAGGCTTTGTGTGAAATATAACAGAGTCTAGGACTGCTTTTAGTGTCCTTGTGGGTTGGTGTAGTTCCCTAGTCCCACCCAGTAGGTCGAGGGTTTGATTCCTGGCTGGTGAGGTCGTTGATTATATATATATATATATATATATATATATATATATATATATATAATATATATATATATATATATATATATATATATATATATATATATATATATATATATATATATATATATATATATATATATAACGTAAGTGTAAATATGCAATAGCAATCAAAGATATTGTTATAAGTGTTACATTTACTGCTACAGGAAGATGAACTGTTAAATATGCTACACGTTGAGTTTATGTCCATAACCAATACTGAGTTATTAAAAGTTGCTGAATTATGGCAACAATCCTGTGAGCTGATGTGAACATTAGTTTCTGCAAATGATTCGTTCACTGCCCAGGGTGTGACAGGACGTGACTGCAGTTGTTGTGACTACTCATCAATCAACATCCTGTCAACAAAATTCTTTCGTATGGTGTGAATAAACCCCAGTTACCAGCACCCCACCCTAGTGATGACAAATCTCTGGCCATGAAAGATGGTCTCAGCATTCTGAGGTATGGTGTGGTGGATGACCTAGTGTTACCAGGAGTGGTAGTTTGCTGTCCTCAGAAGTTTCGTGAAAATTGACCCAGTCACCGGACCTTGGAGTCCTTTGTGAGTGACACGCACAAGTCTACGGAATTGCGGCAACAATTTCACATTATCAAGAAATTCTAGAAAGGAATTCTTCAATCAAGCCTACAAGGAATAGGTGGTATCTAGGTATACATTAAATATATACACACATTTACATGTTCGAGACATAACTCCACATTGATAGGACATCGATAGGTTATTGTCATTGTTGTAAGTGCTTACTTATTTTAATTTATATTGATGTGAAATAATTCCCGGTATTTATTAGACATAGAATATGTGGACATTTTCTTTTGATCCCAGGAAGGATAAGAATGTTCATAATTTTCAAACTACATATTTTAATGATGTCAAAGACACATCTTCTTAAAATAAAAATGTATTAGTTCTACAAAAGTATCACAGACTGTAAATTTTCAGCCATGCCGTGTTCAACCCTTCACAACTCAGTACCATTGCTCTCTGCACAAAGGAATGTTTCGTTGACAGAGTCTTAAACACCACACACCCATTCATACGGCGTGATGACAGTAGCAAAAGTTGTACATTGCTAAGAAGATGTGTTTTTAAACACGAAATAGGCGAAGATTATTTCTGCCATGTTGCTTTTGATATTGGCAGTATTGCTTGTGTTTGAAGTCATGTTTTTTTTCTGTTATTATAAGTCAGTGTCATCCAAGATAAAAATTGTTCATAACATTTTAACCCAAAAGGCACTAAAGTATAGGACCCCTGTAGTAGATAAAACCCCTACAGTAGTAAAATCTACAGCTTAGTGTCTACACCTATGTTTATAACATGGTTAGGGTTGTATAGGATGTATTGTACTCTGTGAGCTTATTTAGGCCTCACGGAGCTTGGCCGGTGGTGACCGAGCGATGTAATGGCCCCTGTCTCATCAACAGAAAGTATTATATATATGGGTTATTTACATCTGATTTATATTCAGATTCATCCCTTGTAACGTTTCACTGCCTATGAGGTGACATGTTCAATACACGTGATAAGGTGTGCCCACAGGAAGCTGCGTCATACTATGCTGAGTAAAGGCATAAAGTAGCCGGCTCCTGGCCACCTAAAGCGGGCAGTAGTTTGGTACCCTTGATTAGAGGGAGACGTTATTTGAGAGCCGCAGTGGATGGCTCCGTCTTCCCTCGAGGGGAACGACATACCTATTCCGTTCTCCCTCGATGGGTCACTACTCAAAGTCACTCACACCAACTAATATCGAACGGACGTTGATTCACGTTTATATAAATAAACGCCGTCCTTTCTCATCACACTCATAAATAGTGGAACTTACGGTTGATCTACACTCAGGAATCATATAAACATAATACCTTTCTAATAAAACAAGAAACTTCAATTGGGTTTCGTTACTAAAGCCCAATATAATATATGTGAACTAACCTGGTTAGTTGGGAATTAACCATCCGGCTCAGTGATTATGATTCCTGCCTTAAGTTTACAATATATGGTTAATACTTAATAATCAATGTTAGTAATGTGTATACGTGCCGCCCTAACTACACAGTTGCCCCTCTGATGTGGCCCACTCACGCAAAAAGGGTGAGCACCACTGCTCTACATCAAACATGAAGTTTTTGGTTATCGGGAAATATGTTCATTATACTCATTAGAGTTTTTAAACCACATATTCTCACATTAGGGCAGTCAACCTGGCTTGATGAAACATTGGGGTTTCTATTAATTGATCGCCAGTTTCATTTAGCTATCACTTAATAATAACTGGTTATGCAACGATTTAAAGGAAACGGTATTTCTTTTGTATTGATTGTATTTTAATGCAATTTTATAACCGGAGAAAAACTTTGTGGACACCCTGCTGCTATCTGAAACAATGATAATTTATTAAACATATGTTATTATTTGCAGTATTTAAGTATTAGCATAATTTTTACATAACATTTGTATTCTTAGGAAAGGAGCACCATATTACAGGCGATTTCATCAAATGGTTTTACGGTTGACTGACGCTGGCATTATACAACACTGGACTGATGACGTGATAGCCAGGCGCGTGAAGGAGAACAGGGCAGCTGCTGCACTGGCCCCTATTGCAACCCTGGTAAATGTTGTGCACGTTGGCATCACCCCTCTCTCTCTTGGAACCACATTTGTGCATTACTTATTTTTTTGCGCCATAATCTGAAACTAACTAGCAGTGATATCTGTATTGCCTTCGGATAAGACGATTTTACCATTTTTAATGCCATTTCCTCCCAATTTAATTTTAGCTGTGAAGAATTTAACCTTTATTTGACTCAGTAAGCTATTATGGTGTGCATTTAGAGTTTGATTCTGCCACTTCCCAGAAGTTTACAGTGAAGGAGAGAAAATCTAAATAATGGAGACCACTGACTTGACCTATTACTGTAGGGAGGCGAAACACTATACAAAGAGATCCTCTAACCTGCCGGCGGACCAATGCATGAACACATGGGAGACAATTAATATTCAGAATTCAACATATTTCTTAACAGACTGAACTTAGATAAGAACACAAAAATTAAAGAAAAAACGGATAATACAAAGGAAGGACTGCAGATTAAAATTTTTATAGATATGAGGGTACACAAAAATCTTATCTGTGATCTAATGATTTGATAATGAACGACAAAAGTTGTTCATAGCCTCGTTGTAACACCTTCATAATTTTCACAGAGTAACGAAAAAGAGATGGCCCTAGGGATGCAGCACATGCAAGGCGCCTTCTACCTCTTGTTTCTGGGGTGCGGCCTCGTCAGCCTCATCCTGCTGATGGAGTATATCGTCCAGTATCATCCTCGTCTCAACAAAACTTTCGCGAATACCACCAGACCTGAGGAATGATGATACTGGGAATATAAAAAATCGAATACAGCAAAATTCAAATATTAGACAAAAGGGCTAACTATCCTGTGAAGTAAATATTTTGATCTATTTGAGAATGCTAACAATGGTAAATAATATATGTTCACCAGTTATTTATACCATATGATCTGTACAAGACCAACCAAATAGAAAATACTGAAAATTTGACTGTTATGTTAGTGGAGGTTATACTAATTACCCTTGTGGATACTCGCATCTATATTGGATAGAATTTATAAGAAAATCCAAAAGACTTTGCAGGGTTTTAAGATTTTTTTTCACAGTTTCAGAAAAATGGCAAAAACTAACCGCTAACTATACGAGTTTCCCCCGTCACAGGCTGGAGTGAAAGGGGAGAGAGGTCGGGGAAACACAGTGGTTCCTTCGTTTTGTTTAAGCCTTTTTTTTTCATTTTCTTTCGAACTCTTCCTTACTTTTCCAGGCGATACACATCACAATTTTTGAATGAGGAAGCTCAAATTTAGACCCAATAGTGACCAAGTGTTTAGGCTTTTATTTCTTATTGTCTTTTTTTCAGATTTTTATTAAATGTTTGTTTATGGCATGGCATAACAGGATACTCCTTAATTAATAACGTTTTGCTACACAGAAAAAGCCCTAATTGATAGATTATAAGTTTACTAAAAACAGTACTTGGGAAATTAGAATTCTTCTTGAATATGAGTTATATGGACCAGGGCCGCATACTCAAAACACCTCATCGGTTACGTACAGTAGCAGAGATACGGTATCGTAACTTACAGACTCCTTACAGTCCTGTAAATTTCTCATACTTAAAATTTAATTACAGGTCCGTAAGCAGTCCGTAACTCTAATGCTTACCCTGTAAATTCAGTTCTCTTGTCTGAAGGTAGATGGCAGTGCAAGAGCTAGTTGGCCAATCGTCGCTCTGTTAACAAAATCATCAACCAATCACAAGAGAAGGAGAAATCAGCTGAAATCGACGCACTTGATAGTTGCTAGACGGACTTCAAGCGTCATAACTGACGATGGAATTATGTTTGAGTAATACTTTTCTTTTTTTACTGGGATCAGCCCACATGGGCACAGGTCACTGACCCACATCAGAGCCTGGGGGGCGAAAATGTAATAATTATTCATAGTAAATAAAATTTATAATAAAAAGTAAAATAAAATAATAATAATAACAATAATAATAATAACACTAATAATAATATTATTAATAATAATAATAATAATAATAATAATAATAATAATAATAATAATAATAATAATAATAATAAAGAACTATAAAGAAATAAACAGAAATAGTGAGAAACAATATATGTATGTTGTGTTGTCAAGTAAGAGAAATAATTGAGACCCTGCAATTGTGTGTAATTTAGGTAGAAAGACAAATCAGCAACCTGGGATTTGGTAACAATTTTCGTGATGCCATATAGCAGCAGGGTCTACCATTAGACAACACATTATGTTTCCAATATCTTCCCAGGCGGTAGTACCTCCCTGTTTGATAGCTGCCTACTACCTGTTGAGGATAATGGTTAACCACTGATCAAAATAAGCATAATATATATATATATATATATATATATATATATATATATATATATATATATATATATATATATATATATATCTTGGATAAAATCACACGGGAAAATGGAAACAACGGAGTACCTTAGCTTTCGTCTTTATTCAAGACATCTTCAGAGGCAACTGGATTACATGGACAGAGAGAGGCTTAAATATACAGGGTGACCTAAAAACATGAGGTCAGGTCATAATGATGACATCCACTAATCCCCACACCAACACAACCGTAGAGGAGCTTAAGAGAAGGGTGGTGACGTGACTAGACAGGTCAGGTCAGAAAAAAGGGACCCACAAAATAACTATCATACATCAAGATCAAAGGTTTTCAAAGCATTTTTAACCTTGGGCCACTGACAAATAAATTTATGTAACATATTATCAGTTTTGAACTGACCATCACTAAGGTTTATTGATTTTAATTCCTTAATCAAACTAGCTTCAACAGAAGTCTTTCTGTGACACAAGATGAGCTTTTTTCCCAAGCAATGGGGTGATTATTATTCCTAACATGAACGAACAAGGCACTGCTTTCAGATGCAGTTCTGGGGCCGGATACTCAAAACACCTCATAAGTTACGTTTTTCAGCATGATACAGTACCATATATTGTGGAAGCCTTACACTACCATAAATTTAGCAAACTCAAAATTTAATTATGGTTCCGTAAGCCTTCCGTAAGTTCTCGTAACTCTAGTGTTTACCCTGTAAATTAAGTTCTCTTGTCGGACGATAGATGTCAGTGCAGATGCTAGTTGGCCAATCAACGCTCAGTTAACAAAATCATCAACCAATCACAAGAGAAGGAGAAATCAGCTGAGAGCGACGAACGTAATATTATTTTGTAAACATGGAAGGACCACCAGCCAAGAAGAGACGACCTAATTTCAGTGAGATGGGGGATATATTTCTGGGTTCGAGAGATGATGTAATGGGCAATTGCAGGAACTACCGAGAAAATTTTTCCATTACCATAAACATTCTGGGGATGAGGGATATTTTCTTGATTTGTGATAACTGTCTCGTTAACGGGAAAACACTCATTCATTCACGGTAGTGCTCTTCACCAATTGTTCTGGCTAACAGAGATCTCACAGTATTTGGTGTTTTACCCCACTAGAATTTAGGTAAATAATCCCTTGCATAATGTTGGCCTGTGACAAGACACATAAGCTATACTAAGATAGCCTTATTCTGGGCAAATTAAAATAAATTGGTTATTGATAGCATAGCCTTGCCTAACCTAAATGACAAATCACTTCTCTTAAATTACTCATTTAGCCTAGACCCTGGTGTTTTCCTTTCAATGTTGGGAACATTTGGTCTGAATTGTCTTCAAGTTCATACAAAAAACAACAATTTAAAACCTGAAAATATATCGGATTAGCCGGAAATTTTCTTAAATTAATACTCTACCTATGATAATGTTCAAGGAAAGTCTGGAACTAGGCCTAAGGTAGCTGCTAGACAAAGTGACTCACTGACGGCCTGACGCTCACCAAAAAACCATGTACACATTCTCTAACCTAACATAACATAACCAAACCTATCTATCTAACCTATACCCTATTAGTATAATTTCTTATTTAAATAATCCTCATGTTCTAACTAAATTAAGTAGGCCCCATGTTTAAACATTTATTTGCCTAAGACTGAAAAAGCAGTTATATAGGCAC